CAAGACAGGTGACTACTCAGACATACATGTTTATTGTTTCAAGTTCTCATCATCAGAGTGAAGTTAACTTGTGTGTTTGTGTCGTTCACTTGGCAGGTATTTATTCAGTTGAACTAGTCAATGACAGCCTTTATGAATGGCATGTCAAGTTAAGGACGTAAGTTTCAGCTTTTTAATAATTTTCATCTTGCCATATATTGTGTGTTGTGTTATATTTGACTTTGCCATTCTTCATTACAGGGTAGACCCAGATAGTCCATTGCATAGTGACTTGCAGGTCTTAAAAGAAAAAGAAGGAGTGGACTACATTCTCCTCAATTTCTCTTATAAAGTGAGTCTTGTGATGATTTTTCTCATTTTGTTTTTGGAGTAAAGATTTTCTCAACACTGAAATTTCTTTCTTTCTTCATTCGATAGGATAATTTTCCCTTTGATCCACCTTTTGTACGGGTTATTTCCCCTGTGCTGTCCGGAGGGTGAGTGTGTCATGATCTCCTGTCGTCCAGGTCGCCACATTCTTCTGTTGACTGCTGCTGCGTTTGCTTGCTGTGATTATTTAAATTACGAGTTCTGCACTTTTGAAATAAGTTAATACCTTCTACATCAATGAGAAAATGTTGATGTATCCTGAATCTCAATTGATATTGAGTCAAAGTAAACCAGACCCGACCTCAGCCTCTCAGGGCCCTTTCATTTTGTTCCCTAAGACCTAATGTGATTTACTCTGCGATTTATTTCATGCATTGATAATTAAAAATAGGCATTAACAAATTTACATCAGAATTACTGCTCATTAGCTGCTACATCTGCAGTACATTAAGTGCATTAAATACAAATCCAAATGTTTTTCTCCCACAAGGCAAATAATGACACGTAATAATCGACTTGAAGCACAAAAAATTAACATAAAATCACTTTTCTTTGCTTAATGTAAATATCTGTTTTGAAATGGTTAATATTCATCCCTAAAACTTGTGTTTATTTTTTATTTCAGTTATGTTCTAGGAGGAGGAGCCTTGTGCATGGAGCTTCTCACGAAACAGGTGTTTGATCATGAGTTTGATATTATGGCATCTTACATTTTATGATGTGATTTTTCGTGGACGTTGATTCATGGCTGCTTTGTGTGGTTTTGTGTTTTCCAGGGCTGGAGCAGTGCCTATTCCATAGAATCTGTTATTATGCAGATAAATGCAACTCTGGTGAAAGGAAAAGCCAGGGTGCAGTTTGGAGCCAATAAGGTAAGTATGTGTAAAATAAGGCTGCACAACATGTTGTTTGACCACGATAAAGGTGAATAGTGGGGATATTCTCTAACAACTAGTTACTGACATAGATGCTTTTTGAGGAGTAAAAATTAGGAACAGTAGAAAGAGACAGGGGAGTGAGAGATGGGCAATGACAGCAACAAGACAGGAACCATTGTTTGTTATGGCAATTTCTTGCAGGAAATTTACAGAGCGTTGTTTGTTTTTCAGAACCAGTACAATCTTGCCAGAGCACAACAGTCATACAAATCCCTTGTGCAAATCCACGAAAAGAATGGTAAGTGTTGGATATTTATTTTAATTTTATCTTATATTTCTGAGTGGCTGAATAGACTCACTGTGGTATAGATCTGTGGGCAAACAGGGTTTTTCTGTCTGTTCTTCCAGGCTGGTACACACCACCTAAAGAGGATGGATAAGGAGCTACCACCACTATGCACAGGAAACATGTCTTTGGGTCAAAGTATCTTGTTTTCTTTGGAATATTTCCCCCGTCTGACTTAACTGGGAATATATCCTCTTTCTCGCGGAAACCATCTCGCTGGCTCATCTGACAAGTACTCCTCTGCCCCGCTCCGGGAAAAAAAAAAAAAAAGCAGCTTTGGTGTGCACCATTACAGAGATGCAGCGGGAAAAAAAAAAAAAAAAGACTTGACTCTGGTGTCACTTTGCTTCTTCCCCTCAGTGTTTCAGTGAGGAGGAGGATGTGAGCGTGTTACTAGTCCTGTTTTCTCAATATGCTCATTTGTCTTTAAAAAAAACTTTTCTCCCTTTAAATGTGGGGAAATGCTTTTTTTTTCTTTCGCTGCTTTGACAAACTGGGCTTCACAGTCAGTTAAATGGGAATTTTAAAAGAAGATTGAGACAGAAGCTCTTTAAGTGGCACCTCACCGCACCTGTTTTTTTTGTCTTTCTCTCCTTCTCCTTTTTGGATAATAAGTGGTACATAAATGCAGATATTGTTTTTAGAAATATTATTTGGCAAATGTTTTTTTTTATTATTATTATTATTTGAGCATCCTAGACAATTATGAGCCAATTTTCAATATTTTAGGAGCTTATCTTTAAATTGAGACGACCTACCACTCGGCATCTTTTAGCTCTTACTTTTTAAAAATGTGTGAAGTATACTGGGCCAAGCAGATCCAAAATGCCGCAGGCAAGATCAAATCCACCTGTGGCGAATGTGAAGACCTGGCCAGTGGATTTGAAATATTTCAGAATCTCTATATATCTTTTAACGATGGTAAGATGAGCATTGTGGCATCAGATTCGAACAGACCTTATGTTGAAGCTGATTAGCTCTTTTTGCCTTATTTCTGTCAACACAGCGGCCCTGCAACAGCTCAGCTTGGCCTTTTTCTTCATTTTGGCTGTAGACGTTGAAGGCTGGTTTGATGCTGAAAATGAAATGAAGGCCCTGTGTGTGCAGAGTTGACAGCATGATGCTCAGCGGCCTCGTCTCGAAGATATTTGGTGCCGTGCTGCGATGGGCTTTACAGAGGGAATAAATGAAGGCTGTTTAGATGTGAGATTTTCTGCTGTTAATCCAGTTAATTTCCTGGTGTTAATTGATTGTAATATTTCATCCCCTTCCCAGTTTAAATTTTGAAACTGCCACGATGTTGCATGACATTTGCTTCTGGATTCATCCCCTCTCTGCTGCCTCTTGTTTTCTCACCCAGCAGCTAAACTTCCAATGTCTGCAGGGCTTCCTTTGCCATCACAATATCCCACAGATGTGTTTTGGTGTCTCTTTGGGTGTGAAACATAAAAAGCATCTCTTATAGTGTGATAACAACTGACCCGAAACTTTTAACTTTGACCTCGCAATATACTGTAGTATGCACCAGTACTGCTACTCCCTATACTACAGGGCACACACTGTATCAATCTGTTTGTTCTTTTGCAGTTTATTTGTTGACACTGTCTGCAAAAGCACGTTTGAATGGCAACTCAGGTAACAAACAATCCTTAGGAGGGGACTCTATACATGCACATGTCGAGTTTCAGGTTATTTTCTTGGATCGATTAACGCTCTGTTCCACCGATGTTGAGATTTACTCTCAAACTCGTACGATGTGAGAAACAGGAAGTATAATCCGTTTTGCAATAATACGTGCCATGTTTCTTTGAATTCAAGAGTGGAAGGACTTTTTTAGACGCATTACAGGACTGCAGCAGATACACGGTCACCAGCCCACTTGACGGCTCATCGCCACCCACTGGTTGTATTTTGCTTTTTTTCCCTCCCAAGTTCTGAAACAGATTAGATTCCAGTGGGTGATCCTGACAAATTGTTTTGCACAAATGGCAGCAATGTGCCTGGAGAGGTCAGTTTTAACACCAAGCACATTCTGAGCAAAATGTTTTTAAATTTTTCTCCCCCCAGCACACTACTTCATATCCTGTTGTTACATGTCTGATACTGTATCTGAGCGGTGAGGAACAACATGTCTCCTCAGTGCTAAGGGCCCGCGTTGCTTAGCGACACAGAAAAGTTCCCCCTGCTAAAAACTCTTTATCTACCTGTGATTCCTTCCCTCAAAAATGCCAAATCTCTGATCAGAGGGTACACTGAGAGGTGATTCGAGTTTGATAGTCATGCTGTGGTGAAGAGACTTGCACGCTTCTCTAACTGGACAGTGCGTTGAAAGCATTCATTTATCTCAAATGTCAACTCATTTTCATTTTCTGGCACCAACAGAAACAGAGGACAGTCTGGCACGTTGGCTCGCTTTGGTTTTCTTTTTCATTTTCCATTTGAAGAAATTTTGACCTTGTACAGTAATTTGTAAACTTGCATCAAGTTTATGAATAAAGAATTTTAAGATTATTGCCTTTTTGTGGTCTTTTCAATGTGTTATTTGAACCACAAGATGAACACCTTTCAGTAGTTTTACTTAGATGTATAAATTGACTGCGGCTGTGGCTCAGGAGGTGGAGTGGGTCGTCCACTAACCGGAGGGTTGGTGGTTTGATACTGAACCCTAAGTTGCCCCTGACGTGTGATCTGTGTGGTAAAGAAAGTGCTGCACATCGATGCATTGTGTGAATGGGCGAATGAGAAAAGTGCTTCTAGAGGTCAAGACTAGAAAAGTGCATATAAATATGGTGCATATACGTCACTGTCGATACAATTGTCATACTGTTTTGATTTTGTATAACAGCATTTATATTTGAAGTGAGAAATGTAACACAGTTAACACCTACAGCTACTGTTTCCTATCTGACTGCACATGTTCTCAATATCAGTCAGGTTTTAGAGCCTAGCTTTAAAATGAATGCCTTATTTTTATGTAGTTTGTCATAATTATATAATCCTTGGAAATAGCTGTCATTTGGTCTAGTTAAGTGGAAAAATCTATTGGAAGCTTTATTCTCCATATATGCTGAATTCTTTTGCTTGCAGTTTGTCCATCAGATGTTTTTTTTCTATAAAGTAATAAATGATGTTATTAAACCAGTTTTAGCAAAGGACATACATTTCAAATTTATTTGAAGGGCGTATGAAAATTAGAAAATGATTTGAAATGTGAAAAGCTTTATGTCAATTGCTATTCAGTGATGTTTTTTTTTTGTTATTCAATTGATTATGGAGAATTTGATCTCTTAGATTATCTGAAAACATGGATCCTCTACATCTACAGCCATGTAGGATACATACATACTGACTGTGTGTGTGTGTGTAGAGGACCTATATCTGCAAACTTGTTCAAGAATAAAAACAAATGCAACAAGAACTCTTTAATATCTATCAGGGTAAGACCAAATAATACAAAAGTAATACACAAAAATGTATTCCTCATTGACTTCACTCATGGAGACACAGCCTCCTCATTCACCTAATTAGAGCAAGTTCCTATTTGTTTATCCACAGCAAATATTTACCTCATTTCAAGTAATTATATATATGTATATCTACTCATGATATAGTACATGGTAATAATACATATCAAACAACATACAGCACATGTGGGGACGTGGGGAAGTTAAATGGGAGATGGCTTCCATAAGCTTTGATATAGCAACATGAGATGAGTCCGACACACTGAAGTTCCCGCTACACAACAACTACAGCTGCAATTTCCATAAACACTTTGACTGTGCTGTACACACACGTGGCAGACTGATCCAAACACCCACCGCGATTATTAACTGGACATACTGCCACATTAACTGCCACAGAGAATTTCTTTGTTCGTCTTTGTGCATAACTTTACACTCTACAATTTTTAGAGCTAAACGTTGTGCATTTGCTAACAGATGAGCATGTGTGGTACATTTTACAGGGTTGTAACGACTGTGTGCATCTGCTGGTGAGAATGTAATGCAATTGTAAAATATACTAGTGGTGTCCATCTTGGAAAAAAACAGGCCCCTGTTTCATTTTTCAATTCATAACACTTTTATGTTATGGTTGTTAGTATTTGTCTCCATATTTGAGGCCTGCACAACAGAACCCCACTCAATCCTAATAATTCTACTGTTTATAATATATTCCTGTTAGTATTGCTACACTGTGATTCACTGTGAATTAGGTTTGCACTGATGTCAACAGGAAACGCAGTGCAAACTTTACTTAGATTTTTACAAAAAAAAAATTTTTATGAAAAAAATTGTTATCTACAGACATGGAAAGACACAATGAACATGTCCGTCACACTCACACACATCTTCAAAAAAAAGAAAAACGGGGTTGGTACAAAATAAAACGCCTAAAAAAGGAAAACAACAAACAGCCTATTGAATACCACATCATCACGATCAGACGAGACAACTCACGGGTTTTGAAATCACGAGCATTCAGATACTTCACATTTGTTTCAAGTCTAATACTGTTTTACTTTAATAACCATCTACTGAGTCTTGAAGAGTCAAAGTGACACGAGGCAGAAAAAAAAGAAGCTTTTTCATGACGCTGTCTCCGAACACGTTGGGCATCACGAGGGCCACGCACAAATATCCTCCCTCTCACTTTCACTTGAAGTTATTGGCTTGAATTTTATATTCAGTATTTTCTTTTTAATGTAATTATCACACCTACTCATGGAATAACACCGACAGCCACGAAATGACACACTAAGGCCTGAAGTCCAGAGCTTCAGAAACAAGTAGCCATTGAAGCATTTACATGTAGGGGTTTAGTGGAAGAATTTGCCAAGGGAGGAAACATCCATCACTTCATACAATGCTATGACCACCGACAACAAGGATTATTAATATTAACTGTATTGTTCAGAACTGCAAGCATTTTGGTTTTCTGTCACTTTTAACCTGTACAACGATGACTTTGGAATGTTTTATCCAAAGAACTGCAATCCTAAATACTGCATGTGCTTCACTTGATCGTTGTAATCATAATGATAATTCATTTAACTGAAATCAACCTGCTCAACACATAACCGGGAGGTAACGACAAAACCGAACACACCAAAACACAGAATGGTTAAATAGTGGTGAAGAAGGGAGACAACAGCCCGAGACGTTGACACTTTAAGGGCTTTACAGGTGTAGAATTTAAAACCAGCTATCACAAATTTCCTGAGAATGTGAAAATCTTTTGAATTTAACGTAAACGTTGTCAGAAAATAAATTTTAAAAAAACAGGTCGTTAAAACATGAACTGTAAACTGCCTCTACTGGATTTAAAAGCTGAAAATACAGTCGGGGTATTTGTTAAAATTTTGTTTAACATTTTGGTCAAATTTAACTTTTTCTTCTTCTACCAAAAGAATGGGGTTTACATAGAGATTAGACATCTAAATAAAAGCCTAAAGATTTAATTACACATAAATTTGAAGAAGATCAATTCCACTCGTGATAAATAAAACTACTAACCTGTTAGCACAGAACAGAGACTGGAATCAACCAGTCTGGCTTTGTCCAAATGTAAAGCTCACTAGTCAATCAATAATTGATCACTATTAAACACATTAATTGAGTTGAGTTGTATATTTTTTGTAACATTTGGATAGTCATTACGCTAACCTACGCTAAGTAGCTGCTAACTATCTAGTTAAATGAGGGGCAAATTTGTTTTAGCATTCTGTAACGTAAATATGCTAATGAAATATTAAGAGAGTGACACAGGCGGAGGCAGAGAAGTCACCCTGTGTTGACCATAGACGAACCGACCTGAATAAACTGATGAAGCTCAGGGGATTAGCATTAGCTATATTATGTGTCTCCATTAAAAAGCAACACACACACGCTGACTAGCTAAAATTGAGCAGCATGAGAGATTTAAAAGAAGAAGCTTTTTAATAACCGGTGGATTTAAATGTGAACAGAATATAAAAAGGTTGAAATCAAAATTCAATAAAGTACAATTCCACCAGAAACATGACTTTCCTCTACATTGTTCTTTTTGAATTCAGCTTGTACAGTATCATAATGAAGGGCACCTAATTCTGATTTGTGTTAATTGATCCCTTTTTATATCTCTCCCACTCGTCAGCCTGGCCCCCGCCTCTGTCCTACATTGGGTCGTCGTAGTTGTAGGTGGGAGCGGCTGAGTACTGGTCCTGCTGCATGGCGCCCTGCGCGGCGCCCATGGCCGCCTGCTGAGCCGCCTGTTGCACATGGGGGTTCTTCCAGGCCCCGCTGGTCCACTCCTCTTGGGCCTTACCCAGACTGCCCCCACTACCGCGGTAGAAGTTATGAACCTATCAAAGACAGCGCGTGAGAGTTGTCATTGACAAAGTATTTTGCTATCATTACTGTGTTTAAAATAAACAAGAGTCTACAGTCTAAAAGTTGAGGTGAAATTCTACTTCCGCTCAGACATCAGCAGCAGTATATATTATTGGTTTGTTTTTGAATGTGTAGTTATTTACTCATAGCTGCTTTAACGAAAAAGTCGATTTTTAAATTGCATGTGCTGTATGATGAGCTGCCGTAACCTCCGGGGCAAGCAAGGTAGCCAGTTAGCATGTTAGACTGCTGTTTTTCCTTCTTCCAATTTATTTGATTTAGTTGAATCTACTTAATTCAAATAGATTTATGTGTTGAATTTTAAGTTATTTGCATATGTGCGAATACTTCTGCTGCATTCATGTCCTGTTGGATAGTTGGTCGAGATGAGAAGATTTATCATGTGATGGGCGTTCACATAATGAAATCGGTTGTACTATTATGGGGTTGACAGCTGCCTAGGGAAACGTGAATCTTTGAACCAAATGAAAACAACCCAATGTGTATTTCTTTTTCTGAGAGGTTAGTAAATCCTTTCAATCCTTTCACATTTGTTTTCCTGAGAAAAGGTAGACGTGTACAGAATAAGTCACCTTTGAGAGGGCGATGAAGGAGAGCACAGCCACTGCAGTGAACATAATGGTGGGGATCAGCATCACCACAGCTGACCCAATATTGGTGCTGAAAAAGGTGATGGTAGCCAGCCAGCCACTGGGGGGGGACAATAAGAGAGTTAACATCACCGTCACAAACTTATAACAAAACATGAACATGTGATGCATTAAGCCTAGTTTATGCTTCTGCGTCACGTCGACGCCGTACC